CTTTTATTTTTTTAAACTCATCCTGTGAATCTGTTGTCTTCTGCTTTTACATAATATTCATTAATTGTTTAATCTCCTCAATATGCGAATTTATGACCATTTTTCTAATCCCTAATGATTACTTGTATAGTACAGGTCCTTTTTATTTTGTTCAGTCCTGGTCCTGTCTTTTTTAAAAATTTTATTTATTTATTTATGGCTGTGTTGGGTCTTCGTTTCTGCGCGAGGGCTTTCTCCATTTGGCGGCAAGTGGGGGCCACTCTTCATCGCGGTGCATGGGCCTCTCACTATTGTGGCCTCTCGTTGCGGAGCATAGGTTCCAGACACGCAGGCTCAGTAGTTGTGGCTCACGGGCCCGGTTGCTCCGTGGCACATGGGATCTTCCCAGACCAGGGCTCGAACCCGTGTCCCCTGCGTTGGCAGACTCTCAACCGCTGCGCAGACTCTCAGCCGCTGCACCACCAGGGAAGCCCTATACCACGTCTTTGTTATCCATTCATCTGTTGTTGGACACTTGGATTGCTTTTATATCTTGGCCCTTGTAAATAATGCTGCTATGAACATTGGGGTGCATATATCTTTTTGAGTTAGTGTTTTCATTTTCTTCAGATATATACCTAGGAGTGAAATTGCTGGATCGTATGGTAGTTCTGTTTTTAGTTTTTTTTGTTGTTTGTTTGTTTGGGTTTTTTTGTTGTTGTTTTTTTGCGGTACGTGGACCTCTCACCACTGCGGCCTCTCCCGCTGCGGAGCACAGGCTCTGGACGCGCAGGCCCAGTGGCCATGGCTCATGGGTCCAGCGGCTCCGCGGCACGTGGGATCCTCCTGGACCGGAGAACGAACCCGTGTCCCCTGCATCGGCAGGCAGACTCCCAACCACTGCGCCACCAGGGAAGCCCTGTTTTTAGTTTTTTGAGGAAACTCCATACTGTTCTCCATAGCGGCTGTACCAATTTACATTCCCATCAACAGTGTACAAGGGTTCCCTTCACATCCTCTCCAGCATTTGTTATTTTTGATCTTTTTGATGATAGCCATTTTGACGGGTGTGAGGTGATATTTCATTGTGGTTTTGATTTGCATTTCCCTGATGATTAGTGATGTTGAGCATCTTTTCATGTGCCTGTTGGCCATCTGTATGTCTTCTTTGGAAAAGTGTCTATTCAGGTCTGCCCGTTTTTTAATTGAGTTATACTGTATTTTAAAATTCAGATTACTTTCACAAGCTTAGATTTTGATTAATTTAATTTTTAAAATTTAGTTTTAAATTTATATCCATCCTATTGAGTCATCAGATTCTTATCTTTAATATTTGAAGAATGAATGTCTTAGAAGAAAATTGCTGTTTTGTTTTAAACCTGATAGCTAAGTATATGTAATTTATATAGAGACCGTACTTAGTGGAATATATCTGTGTTGTGGATTTCTTTGGGGTTTTTTTTCCTGCACTGCGTGGCTTGCGAGATCTTAGTTTCCCGGCCAGGGATTGAACCCGGGCCCTTGCCAGTGAGAGAGCATGGAGTCCTAATCACTGGACTGCCAGGGAATTCCCTATCTGTGGTTTTAATAGTGGACAAACAGAATGTACTTTACAGTTCTAGCACATTTTGGTGAAAAGGGGAGAGAATTGTGCTTTTATTTTATTATAGCAAATTATGTGTGTAAGTGAATTTACATATAGTATATATGTATTTTGCCATGAGGTGACCAGAACTATGAAGATTCAAATACCATATTTAAGGTTATAATCCGACAAATAGAGTCTGTATTACTTTACTCTTTAAAATTCAGTTTCTCCCAAATATCCTTTGAAATATTTATGAATTTTAATAGGATATACTTTTAAAAGAATCATCAAAGGATATAGCCTCCTTTTAGGTAGCCTCAAAATAGACATAGGAGAGGAGGAAAAGTCAAATTTGTTTTAATTTAGTCTATTGTGTTAAAATTTCTAATATTTAGACGTGTTTCATTTTATTTTACTTGTAAACAAAGAACAACATTTGTAAACTTGGAAATTAATATAAAGGTGTAATTTGAATGAAATGATATGGCTAGGTCAGTAATGTTCTCTTCAATCAGTGAAATGATCATTCCAACCTAAAATAGCAACATCTGGTTAAATCAAAGTTAAGTACTTAAGTTATAAGTCATTTGTCTTTAATATTACCACCCAAGAAGCTTTACCCATTTTTTCTGTTACTAAACGATACATGTTTTTACTTAACATTTAAACACAGAAATTTCACTCTAAGAGGGCTGAATGTTAAACTTGTTAATAACTAGTTCTGTTTTTTTTTTTTTTAATATTTATTTATTTATTTGGTTGTGTCGGGTCTTAGCTGTGGCATGCAGGATCCTTTAGTTGCAGCTTGAGGGCTCCTTAGTTGTGGTTCACCTCCTCCTTAGTTGCAGCAGGCGGGCTCCTTAGTTGTGGCATGCAAACTTAGTTGTGGCATGCAAATGGGATCTAGTTCCCTGACCAGGGATCGAACCCAGGTTCCCTGCATTGGGAGCGAGCCATCTTAACCACTGCGCCACCAGGGAAGTCCTACTAGTTCTGTTTTTTTAATTATTAATTGTATTTATACCTTCTCTATAGTTAAATATTGTTATAGTAGGGTTTTTGTTTGTTTGTTTTTATAATGGAAGTAGTTATTTGAGTTGCATGGCAACCACTATGTAGAACTCCAAAATCTATTTCAGTTATTTGAGAAATGAGTTATTTCATGTTTTTGCCTATTAAATAAACTTATAATTTCAGACTTTACATTTCCTCAGAGTAGATTGTCTCTGACTCCTAAATTCTAACATTCATATTAAAGAGCATTCTTTCTTTATTGGTGTATTTTTTGAATGCATGTATTTTGTCCTTGCACATACTCCCTTGGAAAAAAAGAGTCCAGTAGACCATATATGCGTTTGCCTTTTGCTTTAAAAGTATGTTTAAAGTACCCATTTCTTTGCGAGAGCTCATAAATTCAGTTGTGCTTAGTGCTTTGGAAGGATTCCCTCACTGAACATTCCTCCCTGCCCTAATTATTTAGTTGATAATTGAGTCACTGCCCAAATTATTCAGCTGACGTAGTAGAATGAACCAGCTGGATGGCAAAGACTTTCTTGATTCTGGCTTTGTTAGAACTGGTTAATGATTTAGATGAGTTATCTAAGCTTAAACAAGACAGAGAAGATGGAGGCACAGAAAATTTACTTATTTGTGTGAAGTGGAAATATTACCTAATGTCACTTGTAAGTCAAATGAATATTACAAAGCACTTGTAAATTTGTGTTTTACAATAGAAGGTGTTTGATTTCACTGAATGGTCTTGAGGTCTCTCAAAAACTCACGTGACCATTTGCAGATCCAAAACTGAAGCCACAAGCTCAGAGTCACGTAACAGAATTGATATCAGTTCTTATAGATTTGCTACATTTCAACTTGATATTTTTAGCTTTGTTAGACTGCATTACAGAAATGCATAGTGATGACTAATTTTCCTGTTGTAGTACTCTTAGTATATCTAAACATCTAAAGCCTAAATATTGTTGTGAGTCAGATTTTAACTTTTAGCTTTCTCAGTACTGGAAATGCTAAGAACTTTTGGGAGACAAGAAAAAGGTCAGATCATGAGTACAAAATGGGGACACAGACCGCTACTTTTTTTTGTAACTTGGGGACTGGAGCAAGATTTTATGGTTCTGAGAAGTGAATTTGTGATAGTTCATGAAAACTTAACCTTGTAATTCTGGTAAATTTATTAAGGAATTAATGTATAATTGTTATGCTGTTTTGCTTATTATGCTAAAAAATAAAATTCTCTAATGTTTTAGTCAAATGTTCTATTATGATAGAACTTTCATTGTCATGTTTTTGATGTGGGTGGGGGCTTAAATACATTGATGCAGAATACTATCTATATCAGCTGCAATTGTGGGAATTCACCTTGTGATATGAAAATATTTTAGTCTGTGTCCCTGATGTGATGAAAGCTCATCCATGTGGGTTTGCCTGGTACGGGACTTTCCATTTTAAAACTGGGATAGACCCAGGCAAACTGAGACAATGTAATTTCGCTACAGTTAGTGGCCATAAAGGCTAATCCAGAGAAAATAATAATTAGGATTTTGCTTGAAGTTTGTTTATGAAAGGAAGTTGTTTTGCTTTAAAAAATACTCTTGTTTACTACTGTTAGTATATGAGGTTTCTTTGCAAGATTTAAATGTGCTTTTGAAAACTTAGGTACCAGTGATTCTTGAGGTATATAGGTTGTTTTATTTTGGTTGATATTCAAATGATACCCATTTGCTCACACTGTACAATTATTGTTTTCTTCAATCCGAGGTAAATCTTTCCGGTTAAGGAAACTTAAACTCAAGGAATTTAAGTGATTTCTGGAGGTCACATAGCTGGTAGATAGCAAAGGTAGACAGATTTGGGACCTAGGACTTTTGGTTCTCAAGCTCTAGTAGATTTTCATCAGAAAAAAGTAAACTGGATCCTAGTTAACATGCTAAGATCTAGAAGGGAAGATCATTCCTGGTGGCCTTTTGGACATACAAACTACTGGTGATGGTTAAATGCAACGTTTTCAGAGGGTCTACTTTTGAAAATTCTGAGAAAAAGATATGAACCATTCAGGAAAATATAGGTATAGGGACTTCTAAATATAATTTCAGTGGCACTGTAGATCAAATAATAAACTCCTCTGTTATAAGGAGAAATTATAGTTAGTTGTCTGGAATTACGCTGTTTATCTCAACTGTGTTTTCATAAGCAGTGTGTGGGAATAGCTAGAGAAGGTAAAATAGCTTGATTTTGTGCCGATCTTTTTTCTTTTTTTTAAGTGCCTTATTTTTTTTACTGTTTGTGAAAGGCTTTTTTTTGTTGTTTTGCTTGCCACACATTATGTTCTAATATTTTCAGACAACATAATTTAGTGTTATCCAGTGATAACAGGGCATTATCTTCTGTTTAACTTAATTAACTCCATATCCTTCAGGTAAAAAGAACGTATTCTCATGGTACTTATAGAGCTGGCCCAATGCGACAGATCAGCTTGGTGGGAGCAGTAGATGAAGAAGTGGGAGATTACTTCCCTGAGTTCCTTGACATGTTGGAAGATTCACCATTTTTAAAAGTAAGAGAAAACAATATCAAGCAGTCTAAGTTGTGGGAGTTACTTTCATGCTACAAGTGATAACAGATCATGGCTGTTTCAGAATTATAAAAACTTTGATTTCATTTGAATTATAAGGAAGGAAAGGAAAAGATGACAAAGTAGAAGTAATTCTTGTGTGTGTGTGTGTGTGTGTGTGTGTGTGTGTGTGTGTCTTCTCAGGTACTAATTTTAATGGCAAAGCTAAGTGGTGGACCAGAAAATAACACTTGCCTGTAGCTGCCACTTTAGGAAAATAAGTTCCTTCCGTTTATCAGCTTTTTATAAACTGAGTGCCAGAGGATATAAGAGGTACAGGAAGGATGTCTACTAAATTAAAGTGTTCAAGACAAGGGAATGGCAGTTTGGGTTTGTGGAAAACTGGCCTGGGGAGTTGTATAACTATTTCAATCTTGCGAGATCCTAGCTGGGTTGGGCAAGTCGTTTAAACTTTCTAGGCTTCAGTTTCCTCGTCCATAAAATAAGGTATTTAAACTATGCAGCTTTAAGGCCCCTTTAAATTCTTTAAATGATTTTTAGCCAGATTCTGTTTTCTTTTTTTTTCCCCCAACAATCTCTGCATTCCAGAAAATATTTCTTCTTATGGGCGGCTGGGGCTATCCTATTGAGAGAAAAATCTCTGATCTATGTAGTTAGGTCAGTTATTTAATCAGTAATAAAAAGGTCAAAATGTGACAAGATCAGTTTATCTCTAGTATTTGCCACATAATCTGTTAAACATCTCTTCTTTTTTCACTTCTGCATGCTTAATTTTCTAGTCTATATGTGTACATATATCTTTTTCTTCCTTTTCTTTTTCACCCTACTCCATTCCCCTTTTATTTCCTTTTTTGTTCGTTTTAAACCTTTGGTTCCTTGTCTGTTTCTCCCAACTAGTGACATGGAATTTGGTTGCATTTATTTTGAGTGCTATTTTAAAAACACCATCATTTAATATTTATGTTTCAGATTTTAATTTTAAAAGCAAATGAGCTAAATGCATTCTTTCTGGAGAAATTTAATTTGACAAGCTCCCCTTTTTGAAAAGGGGGTATGTTTTTTTAAAAAACCATTCCATGGATAGTGGCCCTTGGTCATTTCTCTTTTCTTTTCAAAGATGTTAATTCCTGCTTTTAGACCAGCAACCTTTTCAAGAAACTACTACACAGAAATAAATTTTGATTTTGGTTTAGTTTTCCTTTTTGTTTTGTTAGGTTTTGATTATAACTAATCAGAGGTATATCCCACCCCCCCCCCCTTTTTTTTTTTTTTTGCGGTATGCGGGCCTCACTGTTGTGGCCTCGAACCCGTGTCCCCTGCATCGGCAGGCGGACTCTCAACCACTGCGCCACCAGGGAAGCCCCCCCTTTTTTTGAGGTATCCATTTTTTAAACTCAGTTGTTCATTTTTTTAGATTCTCATGGAAGACACTTATTTTGCCAACTAATTAACATCATATGGCCCATATATTTGGTAGAAGGAAGAATAATAAATGATAAATACAGTGAATCATACCTCTGGCAGGGTTGGGGAAGTGGGGGAAACCAAGAATAATTACTCTCTTGTTGTATTTGAAATAGAATATTATGAAGGAAAATTTATGAATATATATGAATATATTTAAAATAGGTATGTATGTCAAATGTATATATGAAATTTTGTCAAGGGGACAATAGTCTTTAATGTATATTTGAAGATACATTTTAAAAATAATTAATTTCTCTATAATTATTTGCCTCTAGTGTACACTGCCATGGGGGACACTATCTAGTCTAAAATTAGAGAGTCGAAAAGATAGTGATGATGGTCCCATCATGTGGGTACGCCCGGGAGAACAAATGATCCCTGTGGCTGATATGCCAAAGTCACCTTTCAAAAGGAAAAGGTATGTTGGATATAAATGTTTTTTGCTGGGGATGGGTATTTGTACATTGGTATGTGTATATTGTTGAAATTTGCAGGAAGAAGGAAGGGAAAATTTAGAGTGTAATTGAAATGTAAGTTCAAAAATGGTTACACATGCTGATATAATTTCTTACAAGTATCAAATATAAATAAAACATGAAAAATGTAGGCAAATGACAGTAAATTGTAACTAGGAATGGAAAAAATATCATTCACAACAGAGACATAAACTGTTTTGGAATAAATTTAATGAATATTCAGAAATAAATTTAAATAATATTCATTTTAAGAAAACTAAAACATCTTATGAAAGATATAGAATAAGATCTAAACAAATGTTTAGATCTGTGTTCTGGATTGGACAAAAATGATAGTCCTTTGGAATTTTTAGCATTACAGATGGACTCACACTTCCAGCACTGGATAAAATAATTTTAAAGTTCATAGGGAAGAATAAAGTCAGTCTAGAAAGCTGTAAAAAAGAAGATAACTATGAGGGGGACCTTGTCTTACTCAATATTAAAAAGTACTATGAAGCTCAAAAAGATCATTGGAATAGGATAGAGTGCACAAACAGATCAAAGTATATTGGGAACTTAATAATGAGATAAGTGGGAAAAGAAAAATTTATTTAATGAATAATGCTGGCATAAATGGGAGTCCATTTGGAGGAAAACAAAGCCATAACCCCACTGTTATACAAGAAGTAAGGTATTTGAACATAATAAGTAAAAAACAAAAATATTAGAATAAAATGCTTAAGCTTAGGAGAGATCTTCCTAAGCAAAGATTAAAAGATACAATGATAATACTATTTGTGAGAGGAAAGACATCAACAACAAAGTTCAAAACTATGATAGACTGGACTAAAACATTTGTAACATGTGACAGACTAAATTTAATATACAAAGAGCATTTCTAAATTGAGAAGAAAAATGTAGAACAACCCAATAGAAAAATAGGCCCCAGGTAGTCGATTGTATATTAAATATATATTAAAAGAATTATGAGATATTATTTTTACCTATTACATTGGCAAAAATTATTAAAAGAGCGAGTATATTACAGGCTGGTAGGTACGTGAGGAAACAGGGTAATATATATTATTGGTCTATGGGTGAGCTTCTGTAATCATTTTTTAGAAGTAATCTAAAATAGCTTGTAAAGTTTAACGTATGTATACTCCTTGAACCAGGACCCCTACTTTTGGGAATTTGTCCCAAGAAATAAAAGCACTAAAGGTAAATGTATAAGAATGTTAACTGCAGCATTTATTATATTGAGATAAATTTTAAAATGGTCTGAATGTCCATTAACAGGAGAATGGTTGAATACATTTTGGTACATTCCTGTTAAAGAATGTGGTGAAATAGTTAATTTCATAATATGAAATTTTGTCTCTTGAGCTGGATATCCATGATACTTGAAAAGAGCAAAATGTAGAGTATATGTCCAGTATGATTCTATTTTTATGAAAAGAAATTTAAAAAACATGTGTAAGAGTATATTTATGTAAGCACAAAGAAAAGTGTAGAAGAATGTACACTAGCTTAACATTGATGGGAATGGAGTGGGTGATCCTGGGGGAGATAATACTTTTTTTAGATGTCTAAAGATGGTCTCACTGGTTATAAATTTAAGAAGAAAAAACAGAACAGGGAGAAATGGTCATAGAGTAAAATGTAGGTTATATGAGAGCAGGGACAATGTTGTGCTTGTTAATAATGTGTCTCTAGCACCTAAACAGAGTGTCTGTTTAATAAATAAATTTTGGTTTAATGAAATTTTTACAAGTTAATTTTTAAGTTGGTAGTAAATGGTAAACTTGGTGTGTATCTCAGTGATTCTTAATTTGGATTTACAAATCATTTTGAGAATCTGAAAGACTCTCCCTAGAATAATGCAGATATATACAAACTTTTACATGTAATTTAAGGGATTTCACCAGCCCCTTGAGGAACTTGTAATCCTCAGGGATTACAATCCATGGTATATGTGGTCATTTCACATCACGTTATAGTCTGACCAACTAATGACAACAGTGCCCTAGGCACTGTGCCAAATGCTTTAATAAAGTCTTAATTCATTAGAATGTGGTATAATGAGACGAGACTTGGTTTGAAAGCCTGTTAGCGTTCCACAGAAAGCAGCAGCATCATCTAGCTTTCTAATACCTGTAAAACATTAATCACAAACAGCAAAAAAGTATGTTAAAGCATTGTGTGTGTGTCTGTGTGAAAGTTTATATAAAACTGTAAGACAAGAGTGCACAAATAGTAGTAAAGTAGTAGAGATTGAGGGTGGGAAGTTAGAGAACCAAAAAGGAAGAGTGACCCTAGGGGATAGACTAGGATGAGACGAAAAAATAATGGGGGCAATCCTGATTTGTCTCTGGAAGCAACAGAAAAATCATACAGGGAGGTAAATAGGATGATGACTCCCAAAATAAATTCTTCTCACCCAGTTCCCCTTCTGCAGCAAAATTGGAGAGGGTTTCTGCAGTGAGTGAGGCCAAGTAGGCAGCAGCTTCTGTATGCATATGGATTCTAGAAGGTGAGCGGTGGAGGAGAGGCCCAGTGGGAGATGTCTGTCCTCCAGGGTGGAGCTAAAGTGTTTTTTTCCCCTTACCTCCAATAAACCGTGCATGTTTTATGGAAGCACTTATTGCCTAGTGTTTTCTTGCTGTTTATTTTTTGGTCTATCTCTCACTAGAATATAAACTCCTACGAGAGTAAGGAACTTGTCTGTCTTATTCACTACTGTCTTGTTCAGTAGCTCCAGTGCCTAGAGAGTGCCTGACACAGAGTAGGTGTTCTGTAACTATTAATGCATTTTAAAAAGTTAAACCTGTCAGTACATCAGTACAAATGTTTGAAGGCAATTAAGCCTTAATATACATAAGCCTGCCGCTCTCGCTTTATATATATAATTTTGTTTTAACAGAACTACCAATGAGATAAAAAACCTGCAGTACCTACCTCGAACTAGTGAGCCTCGTGAGATGCTCTTTGAAGACAGAACAAGAGCTCATGCAGATCATATAGGACAAGGTTTTGAACGACAGACTACAGCTGCTGTTGGAGTGTTGAAGGCTGTGCACTGTGGAGAGTGGTATATATTAACTACTGCAATTTAATGGCTTCTAAAATTTTTCTTGGGAAGTTTTTCAGTAATTCTTCTTACTGTGGGGGAAAAAGTTTCATTTTCCCCTGTATTTGGATATCCTAGTTGTATAATTGTACTAAAGAAGATTTTCATTTGCTAGAATCTAGATTTTATCTTTTGGGCTTGACTGAAGTAGTTTCATTTTCTACGTGACTAGAGTTGAAAACAGTTGTCTTATCTAAGGTAATGGCAAACCTAAGGTTCACTTGGTGCTTATTGTATGCCCATTTACAAATGTTCAGTTAATTTTCTCTACTTTTAGGCCCGTATTTATTGCACAAAAGGGAGACTGAGGCTCCGGACTATCAAGTAATGTTGTCATAGTCATATAGTTACTAAGTGGTAGAGCTGAGTCTGATTTCAGAACTGACTCCAGATTCTTTTGTTTTTTCTTTATACTGTTTTAACTTGCTGTCTTTCTAAGGTTTGGTATCTACTGTTTGTTTACCTTACTATATTAATTTTTTCTGGCTTTGCTTGTAAGTTTCACTGACTCTTTTGATAGATTAGAAAAGTGCATAATTTTCTTAATGAAAATGGATAATATACTTAGAGGTGGTCATCCCATATGTTAAAAAAATTTCCATTTATTAAATTGATAAAACCCATAGAGCAAAGCTATATTTATACTGTAAGATAACTTTGCTCAATTAGGTTTTGTTTTCAAATTGAGTATTGTTTGGGTATGAAACTTAAGATGGAATAAGCAGTTGAATTAGATACTGAGAATTTTTTCTAAGTAAAAAGAAACTTTTTAATTCTGAAAGTATAAAATGTCAGTATTGTTGCATAGATTCCTAAGATGTTGTGAAAAATATTGCCTGTATTTTCTGTACAAGGAAATTTTTTCAGGGGCTGTGAATACAAGATTGACCCTTTGTTCAAAAGGGAAAATTTAAAGTAATATTTTATAAATTAATACTGAATGGGGAGGCCACTGTAAACTGACCTTTCTTAACATAAATGAAGCTTTATCAATTTCAGATATACAAAGTAACGAGTACTGAACTAACCCTAAGAGGTCCTTAGGAAAATGACATTAATAGTTTATAATTCAATAATAATAATTTATAATTGTGTTTAAGTTAAATGGTAATTATCAAATATCTGTGGTTGTTCCCATATAGTTTCTAATTCCTTACTATAATCTGGTTTAAAATACTAATTTTGTCAAAAAGTAAAGGCAAATTTATCTCTTTGGAAATCATTACAACAACCCCCTCTTTCAAATTAATGAGATTTTTCTTGAATGTTTGGTATAAAGGATTTAAGAGTGGCATCAAAATTTATTTAGGGTGAACTCTGATTTATAGATAGTATTTGTTAAAGTTAGCCATATAATTACATTTTTTCTTCAGAGATAAATATTCTTGCTTCTTGGCCTTAACTTTGTTTAAATCTCTCTTAAGCTTCTTTAAATTATTGTTGGTTTATGCTTTGGTCTCCACTTTATATGTGACTTGATGTTAGAGATTGTGTCCTGTCCTTCACAGGTCCATCATAGTTCCCTATGAATAGTTACTGAATGAAAAAACACTTGAAGCTAACAATTTCACAGTGAAAAAGACTGTTGCCAAAGTATGAATATATTAGGTGGCCAGATTTAATTTGAGACAGATTTTGGAATGAGATGTTGCTAGCTATGAGTTTTCTCAGTATTGTAAAATATAGTTTGCTTTCTATACCAATGCTGCTTTAATCTCTTAGTATTAAAGATGGTAAGAAAATAATTTGGTTGATGCTTTAAGAGGGTTTCATGGCTCTGATGCAAACGTGGTCTATGATCCCTTTATCGTTATTCCTTGTTGTTAAATTAAGCTATACTAAGGAAATTGGTGCTTTCTCTTAGTGTTCTCCTTATCTTAGTGTTTTGAGTTCTGCTCTTTTTCTCAAGGAGACATTAGGCATTAGAGTATTAGATTCTTTTTTCATTAATTAATTAATTTTTTTATTTATTATTTTTGGCTCTGTTGGGTCTTCGCTGCTGCACACAGGCTTTCTCTAGTTGCCCTGAGCGGGGGCTACTCTTCATTGCAGCATGTGGGCTTCTCATTGCAGTGGCTTCTCTTGTTGTGGATCACGGGCTCTAGGCGTGCAGGCTTCAGTAGTTGTGGGTCACCAGCTCTTGAGCACAGGCTCAGTAGTTGTGGCACACGGGCTCATTGCTCCATGGCGTGTGGGATCTTCCCAGACCATGGCTTGAACCCGTGTCCCCTGCATTGGCAGGCAGATTCTTAACCACTGCGTCACCAGGGAAGTCCAAGATTCTCGACTTTATCTTAGAGCCAGGCTTAACACCAATTTGAGATAAAGGACTGGGATTGATTGAGACTACAAAGAAATCTTAAACTAGATAGACTTGTGAAGTGTTGATGAATTTTATATCACTTTTTAGTATTAGGAAGATAGAATTCACATAGATTTATATATTTAAGGTTGCTCCTTGAGATCCAGTTTTTTGAAAAATCAACTATGGAAGTATAATTTGTATTCAGTAATACACACGCTTGTTATAAGTGTACAGTTTGATGTGTTTTGACAAATTTATACAGCCATGTTGCCATTACCACGACTAAAATATAGAATATTTTGTTTCCTTCATATACCTTGGCAGTTAATCTCCCCCCATTCTTACCCCAGCTCCAGACATCTATAAATCTATTTTCTGTCTTTATAGGTTAGTATTGCCTAGTCTAGAATCTCATTTAAATAGAATCATATGTTGCCTGACTTCTTTCACTCAGCATAATGTTTTTGACATTCATCTATATTGTTATGTGTATTAGTAGTTCATTCCTTTGTGTTGCTGAGTGGTATGTCATTGTATGGATACATCACAATTGATTTATACATTCACCTGATGATAGACATTTGAATTGTTTCCAGTTTGGGGTTTTTATGAATAAAGCTCTTATGAACATTCCCTTTCAAGCCTTTGTGTGCACATAAAATTTCATTTCATTTCAGTAAATACATAGAACTGGAATTACAGGGTCTTAGAGTAAGACAAAATAATTGTGTATAGAGATAGTTCTAAGTCTACAAAAGAAGTACTAGAATTTAAGTCACAAGATAAGACAACATTGAAAAGTCACTTGTATATATTTTAATTCTATATGTTAGCAATAAACACTTTGAAACATTTTGAAAATGAAAAGAAAAATAATGCCAACTTATAAAAACATAAAAATTATGAAATACGTAGAGATACATTTTTAAAATAAATGACATACTGAAAACTACAAAACACCAAGGAGAAAAATTAAATAAGACTTACATAAATGTTAGAGATATACCTTGTTTGTGGATTGAAAGACTGAATATTATTAATATGTCAGTTCATTCCTTTTCCCCACTTTTCCTTCTTACCTTTTTTAGCGTTTCATTATACCTCCACTATTTGTTTACTAGTGGTTGCTCTAAAGTTATCATAGTGAACCTTCAAATAATATTATACCTGCTATGTAATGTGTAAGAACTTTCAATAGTATACTGCCATCTCTCCCTGCTCCCATTTATGGCCTTTTTGCTAATTATTATTAATACATTTTGCTTTATGTGTGCTATAACCATCCCCCCAAATATGTTGCTTTCTTTGGCATTAAGGAATTATTTCTGAAGAGATTTTTAAGATGAGAATAAAATATCTTTCATATTTACTATTACTTGCACCCTACCTTCCTTTGAATAGATCTACATTTTCATCTAAATATCATTTTCCTTCAGCCTGAAGAAGTTCATTAACATTCTTTGTTGTACTGGTCTTCTGGTGACAGATTCTCTCAGTTTTTGTTTGTCTGAAAATGTTTTTATTTCACACTTTCTTAAGGATATTTTGTGGGTTATAGAATTCTAGACTGACTTTTTCTTTCAATACTTTAAAGATAGTGTGCTCTCTTCTGGCTTGCATTGTTTCTGATGAGAAGCCTGCAGTCATTCTTACCCTCTTTCCCCGTATATTAATGTG